GGCAGGCAGAGAGAGAGGAGGAAGCAGGCTCCCCGCTGAGCAGAGAGCCCAATGTGGGGCTCGATACTAGGAGATCATGACCTGAGCTGAAGGCAGAGGCTTTAACCCACTGATCCACCCAGACGCCCCAAGAATGACTACTGAATCTTATTGTTCATATTTTTCTGGGGGATTTTTACTTGTCTTTTTGTTGTGTTATTTTATTTTACTGGTGTTACTTATTTATTGCCTATCGTGAAGTTTCCCCCTCTGATTTGACAATGTTTTCCTTTTCACACATGTTTAACAGATGATGTTTAACAGATGTGTTCAATATAATTTTTATTTTGCAACTTATTTTTAATTGTGAGTAATTTTTTGTTTCTTTTGTTTTCCCTTTTTTTAATGGACAATGTTCAATGTTAAGGTTCCTCAAAAATTACTTTTGGTAATTTAGAAGGTCTATATCATATTTTTTCCTAAACGTTCACTTACTTAACTCTTTAACTTCTGAAACTTAAGAATTTTTAAGCTTGTCTGTATTTCTTTGTTTACAAACTTTAGAAATAAAGCTGTCTGTTGACTCTTCTATTTGGAAAGTTAGGAAGTGGACACAATTACACTTTTCTTGCCAAATTCTCATTTCTGATTCTTGATAGTATCCTTTAGGATTTTTGTCTACTTTTTATAGTTATGTTATTACTGCATTCACATTTTGTAGCTCATCTCTTAGTAGTTATGGTATTTATATTCTGTTTTATAAACTTAACCACAGTGGTTTTGTTTTCATGTTGTGTTATTTGTTCTTTGCCTATGATTAATTTTTTCCAAAGTTAAACTTTAGATATTTTCATTTTTAAATAATTCTTATCTGGACCAGTGACTGACTACTGGTGATATCTCCTTATGGGGAACATTATTAACAGAATTATTATCCTTAAGCTGGATTTCATATAATAAAGCACTTAGAATGCCTGCTACTGTTCTACAGTATTTTATTAGGCTACAAAGAATAATCTTCCCCCAATTTTTCTGATCAACAGGTAATTTAATTTATCTATGCACTGACCATTCCTGTGCCATAACCAAAGAGCCATATCTGCAAAGTGCTCTACTAGTTTTATTGCAATGTTGAAGTACATCTTTACTTTTGTGTTTGTCAAGCAGCTGTTAATGTTTTACTCTCTTATTTATAACAAATATTCTAGCCACCTATCTAATTCAAGTTGTATATCACCCACTTTTTTTGCCCACTCAAACATTCCTTTTAGGCAGTGTTTCATATTGCATTATGTCTACTCTTATCCCTCTCTTGTTTTGTCAGTTGAAGATAGGCCTGTTAATTTTTCCTTCCCTGTCATAATTGGTGTTACTACCACACTATCTAATTCTAGTTTTAAACAATGAAAAGTCTTTTAATGGCATATGGCATATATTTAATTCATGGTTTTATTTTACATTTATGCCTCCCTCCCTCCCTTCCTTTCTTCTTTCAAGGAATATTGAGTAGCTATTTTTTTTTTTAAGATTTTATTTATTTATTTGACAGAGAGAGATCACAAGTAGGCAGAGAAGCAAGCAAAGAGAAGGGAAATAGCCTCCCTGCTGAGCAGAGAGCCCGACGCGGGGCTCGATCCCAGTACCCTGAGATCATGACCCGAGCTGAAGGCAGAGGCTTAACCCACTGAGCCACCCAGGTGCCCCTTGAGTAGCTATTGTTTAAGGCATCACAGTAAATACCTAAATTAGTGCAGAAAGAGACATGGTGCTGTCCTAATGGAGCTTCCATTCTAGTTGGGGAGACAGAAAAAAACCAACAATTATACATACAGTTTAATAGTTGTTTTAAGTGCTGAGAGAGAATAGCAAGGATTAGATCTGCCTGAGATTTTGCTGCTTCCTCAAGGAAGAAAGGGATCTTGCCGTGTGAAGGAGGAGATGAGCTTTCAGGAAGAGTAAATGTTCAGGAAACTGAAGGAAGAACAAAGGTTCTGGAATTTATTTAGCTGGGTAGAGAATGGCAAAACTATGAAGTTGAAGGATGGACAGAGGATAGATGATCTGAGACAAATAGGCCTTAGAAAGAAATTTGGATTTTTCTTTAAATGAAAAGGAAAGGCAATGTAGGGTTTTATGTTAGAGAATTATATTTTCTTTTTCTACTTTAAGGGCAGTGGGTTGGAGAGGAGCATGAGTAGAAGAGAGGACACCAGTTTGGAGGTGTTCTAATAGTTTAAGCCAGAGTTAGTGATAACCTCCGAAATGGTTGGCAATGGAGATGAAAAGAAGTGGGTGGATTTGTGGTAGACTTTGGAGGGAGAATCAGAAAGACTCGCTGATGGATCGTTGGGGAAGTGTGACCTGAACTTAAGAGGAGCAGAGACCTTTTTAGGAAGAGAATTAGTAGTATTAGTATTTTGGGATTGGGATAAAGCCAGGTTTTTGTTAAAGCTAGAATATAAATGGAAAGTCCTGATAAGAAGTATAAGTAGTTTTCTAATAATAGAGCAGGACTTTTTGAGGTTATGGGATTCTTTGAGAGAGTATCCTGGATCAGATTAGGAAATATTGAGGGCAATATAAGGTTGGTAATTAGGGTCATGATACATACCTTGGAAGGCTTGGACTTCCCACAGTGACTACAGTAAAACAGGGCTTTTAGGCAGGATGAGATGTGCCCTTCTGGGAGGAGGAAGCCAAGGCCGTATTGTGTCATCTTTAGTGTTGGCTTTCAAGAAGGCTTCTCTCCTAGGCTGCAAAGACTCTAACACAGAATTTCAAAAATTTGTTGCTACAAAGAACTTAGAGAATATTTATTTTTTGAAGATAGATAATGAAACACTGATTCCTCTCACTTTTTCTCCCTTTTCTTTTCTTTTCTTTCTTTCTTTCTTTCTTTTTTTTTTTTTTTTTGGTAGCCTTAACATTCTGTACATGCTGTAGAATGTTTTCCCAATGTTGTGTTTTTTAGTGGGATATATATATATATATATTAAATATAAATATACAATGAAAAAGACAAAGGTATAAGAGTTATTAGGACATTTAGTTTGTTTTTAATCCATGTTTATATAGTTTTGTTTTCATCTTGGTTAAATTTTATTTTTTATTTAATTAATTAATTATTTAAAGATTTTATTTATTTATTTGAAAGAGAGCAAGAGAGAACACAAATGGGGTGGAGGGGTACAGAGGGAGGGAGAAGCAGGCTCCCAGCTGATCAGGGAGCCTGGCTGTGGGCTGGATCCCAGGATCCCGTGATCATAACTGGAGCCAAAGGCAGACACTTAATGACTGAGCCATCCAGGTGGCTCTAAATTTTATATTTTAATGGCACAGGTACATCAATTTTAAGTTGCTTTGTGCTATGTAGAGCATATTATTAGATTTTTGAATTTCAAAGTAAGTATGATGATTCATAAGCCACATTTTTTTCCATGTTTATAATAGCATTTCACAACTACAGTGGCCCTTGTCCCTAAACAAATGTCCTCAAAGGTTAACTTTTAAAAAAAGGTATGTTGAAGTGTATCAAAAACAGATTATCAAGTTAGACCCTAGTGAGTTCTGACTGTGATTAAGAATTTGCTTCTTTTAGGCTATTATTTTGATTTGGGTGCTTATTCAGATTTTTAAAATTAATATATAATGTATTATTTGTCCTGGGGTACAGGTTTCTGAATCATCAGGCTTACACATTTCACAGCACTCACCATAGCACATACCCTCCCCAATGTCCATAACCCAGCCACCCTATCCCTACCCCTCTTCCCTACAGCAACCCTCAGTTTGTTTCCTGAGATTAAGAGTCTCTTATGGTTTGTCTCCCTTCCCATCCCATTTCATTTTTTATTACAAAAAATATAAATAAATATAAATATAAATAAATAAATAAATAAATGCTCATTTTTTCCTTCCCTACCCCTCATGGCCCCCAGCCCTGCCTCTCAAATTCCTCATATCAGAGAGATCATATGATAATTGTCTTTCTCTGATTGATTTATTTCGCTCTACATAATACCCTCTAGTTGCATCTGCTTATTCAATTTTAATTTAGGGTCCTTTTGGAACATTAACAATGAAGAATAATTCTGTTCATTCATGGAGCAAAAGTAATAGCAGAAAAAATTATTCCTATCTTCAGTAAATGTCTGACGTCATATCTTGTCTAATTTTTAATCTTTAACATGGATCTTACCTGACCATGGTAAATCTCGAATTGTTTCTGAATAGAATTTTGAAGACCTATAGTGAAGGTATTCCTCAGTTACTTATTTTAGTATCTGGAAACTAGAATATCTAATAACAAATGACTTGTTCTTCTAGCAATATCCATATGCCTGCCTGTCCCATACCCGACATTACATGTGTCTGCTTTAATGAAATATGTTGTGCTGGAAAAACCTTTGAGAGCTAATGCTATTTACTAAGAAAAGAGAATAGATAGAAATACAGGGATCACCAGTATTTAAGACATAAGCAGCAAAAGAGAAGCAGGTACAAAGATTGAGAAGGGATTTTTAGGAAGAGGAGAAGACAAGTTGGTATGTGGGAATATGAGAAGCCATGCAAACTGAAAAAGAAGAGTTTCAGGAAGAAGTGAGTCAGCAGGATCGGATCAAATGCTAAGAATAAAGGTGATTAAGTTCCTGCTGCATTTGACTGTTAGGGAATGGTGACCTTACTGAGGCAGTAGCATGGTGTGGCAGAAGCATATATCATGTGTTGACAAATAGACAAGAAGTGGTAAAATGATGACTGCAAGTGTGGACTCTCAAAGAGCCCAATTCCTTTCATAAAATATTACATAGTCTCTGATTACTAAATTTTGAAGTATTTGTACTTGAAGTTGAAGATGTTAAATATGAAGCATTCATAGCTATTGCACAATTGCCAGAAACCTGGAATTTTATATTAATGTAATAATTTGTGTAAAACTAAATATCCTGAATACTTACAGCACAATAAAATGGAAATCTTTAATACAGGTGCTAATTTTATTTCTTTATTTTTTTCAAAAGTCTTGGCTACTTATGATTCAGCAGACAGAACAGCTTAGTAGAATAATGAAGACACATGCAGAGGACCTAAATTCTGGACCCCTACACAGGCTCACCATGATGATCAAAGACAAACAGCAGGTGAAGAAAAGTTTTGTAGGTGTTCATCAGCAGATAGAGGCAGAGATGATCAAGGTTAGTCTTTCTCCTTTGGAATTCTTTTGTTAATGTGATTTTCAAATTCACAGAAATCTTTTACCTTGTTTGACTTTAAAAATTGTTTGTTCATCATTTTATGATGAGAAATAGGTTTTGGTGTCTCTAATAAGTAATATTTTATTCTTATTGCATATAAACATAATTGATTATACTGTTACTTTATGTTCTCTGAAAGAAAAAGAATACTGCCAATTAAACTGATGCAGTGCTTTCTTATCACTTGGAATTTTTATTTTTTACTTACTGAAATAGCTCTTCTAGGTTTTATTATTTTTATTTTTACTCTGCATAATAAAAAAGAAAATATAGACAAAGTAAGTTAGGATAATTTTAAAATTTTCTTCCCGAGTTTGTCCCTTCTGGATAACTTCTTACAGTGTTTTTTTATTATAAAAATTTTGAATGTACAAAAGAAGAGAGAATAGTAAAATAGACTTCTATTGACTGATCCACTCACATAGTCAAGGTTTCTTTTTTTTTTTTTTTTATCTATATTCACGTACTTTTTCTAATACACTGGATCATTTTAAAGAAAATTGCAGGTATCATTTTGTCCATAAATATTTTAGTATGTATTACTAAAATAAATACTCTTTAAAAAAAAAAAAAACTTAACCATATTATCATTAACCCACCTAAAAATAACAGTAATTCCTTTGGGTTATTAAATATCCTGACTGTGCTCAAAGGATTGTTGTTTAAATGTTTTTTACAGTTGGTTCATTTGAATCATGACCCAAACATGGCTCATACATTGTTTTTGAGTAATTTTCTTTTAATCTGTAGGTACCTCTCCTGATGTTTTAAAAATGCTATTTATTTGTGGAAGAAACTGGGTACTTCACTAAAGGTTCCAGTGCTGCCAGCCTGATTAACCTATTGAAAAAGTTTCCCTTCAGTCATTCACCAAATAGGTTTAGAAACAATTGATGTTTGCTGCTTAGATCCATTATTTAGTAGGGGTTATAAAATGGCAGTATTTTACTTCTATCATTCCTAATGCGATTGTTAGCTTTAATTTTTCAGTAAAAACTTTTCTTATATCAACTGTTTGGCTACCATGAAGTATAGTTCATAAACAACAAGCAGGATAAATGCTTGCTTTTTGCAGTTAATTAGCCAGTTTGGAGAACAATGAATTAGTTCTTTAGCAAATTCAAAAGTTAAGATTTCCAGTTTCCAGTCTGGCCTATAAGAAATTTGGAAATTGTGACTCCATCCTAACAAAGAGTTAAAATTTGAATAAATTGAAAAATCAACATCTCTTCTTAGATCCTTAAGAGAAATGAGGTGACAGAGCTAATGGCTCCCCCTAAAATTGGAGAGACAGACAAGTGAATACAGAGAATCACAATTTATCAGAGTGAAAACCTCTTTGGGAAGCAGTGCTGTGTACAGGAAAACCTGAACTGTAACTGACAAATTCTGGATGCTCAGTGTGGACAATCTGACAGTTAAAAACTCCAGGAGGAGCCAGTTATTGAGAGGACTCCATGCTATTGTGACTTTTACTTCCCAGACCTCTACCAGGTTCTCACAATAAATATTGGAGAAAAATCTCATGCTCCAGTGGGGGGAGGGGAAAGGGAACCATTTTGATATATGCCAAAGCATTCTGTCCTTAATAAAGTCTGCTCTCAGGAGAAACTGTTTACCCTTAACCTGATTAATCTGGGGGAAGGGAAATTCATAACTCCTACTCACTCTGAGTGGGCTGTGGGCTAGTCAGCTGAGTAGCACATGTGAAGTACATAGCCAGAGAGGCACAGACTCAGTAGAAGACTGAGTTATACCCTAACCATAGGGTATAAAATGCTTCCTCTTTTCTGACAGCTTATTATTAGAGGCCTATTTAATCAGTTTCTTTTACCTGGTACATCCTGGCATATCCTGCCTAGCAATGAAGAAAAAGTAACAACGGATAGCAAAAGGCAAAAATACACAACTGGAAGACATGGAACAAGCATCAGACCCAGACACAGTAGAGGTGTTAGAATGATCAGACTAGGAATTTAAAACAACTATGTATAATATGCTAAGGGCTCTAATGGATAAAGTAAAAAGCATGAAAGAACAGATGGGTAATGTAAGCACAAAGATGGAAATTCTAAGACAGAAACAAAAGGCATTCTAGCATTCTAGAGAGCAAAGATGGTGTAACAGAAATGAAGAATGACTTTGATGAGCTTAATAAGAGATTGGACACAATTAAGCAAAGAATCTCTGAAGCTGAGACTATATCACTTGAAGTCTACAAAACTGAAAAGTAGAGAATAAGGACTGAAAAAAAAATGGAACAGAATAACCAAGAACTGTGGGGTAACTAAAAAAGATATAGCATATGTATAATGGGAATACCTGAAGGGAAGGAAAGAGAGAAAGGAACAGAAAAGATTTTTGAAATGATAATGACTGCAAATTTCCCTAAGTTAATGTCAGACAGCAAAGAGCAGATCCAGGAAGCTCAGAGAACACCAAGCAGAATAAATGGCCAAAAAACTACACATAGGCATATCAATTCCAAACTACAGATAACCAAAGGAAAAAAAAGAAAAGAAGCCTGAATAAAAAAGCACCTTACCTATAGAAGATCAAATATAGGAATTATATCTGACTTCTCAAAAGTAAGTAGGCAAGAAGGAAATGGAATGAAATATTTAGATGTTGAGAGAAAAAAACCCCACAATCCTAGAATTCTATACCCTGTAAAATTATCCTTCAAAAGTGAAATAAAGCATTTCTTAAACAAACAAAAATTGAAGAAACTTGTAGCCAGTGGATTGAGTAGGAAAATGAAAAAGTTCAGAAACTCAGATGTACATAAAGAACGAAAGAGCATTAGGGAAAGAATGTGAAGATAAAATAAAAACTTATTTTTCTCATTCTTGATCTAACATGTAATAGTTTATTGAAAATAATAGCAACAATATTCAGTTATGTATGGTCATGTATCTTGGGTGTGTACATTTGTATACATACATATATAAGTTTATGTTGCTTATATATAAGTGAAATGAAAGACATTAATGATATACAGGATAGAATGGAGGTATTAGGATTATTTTTGTATTGTAAGGTACTCATACTACCTGTGAAGTGCTATAGGGTTCTTTGAAAAGAGGCTTTCATTAGTTTTAAACACATATTGTGAACTCCAGGAAACCTACAAAAAAAAAGTTAAAAAAGAAGTATAACTGGGGGTGCCTGTGCTTTTGGTTAAGCCTCTGCCTTCGGCCTGGGTCATGATCTCAGGGTCCTGGGATTGAGCCCCACATTGGGCTTTCTGCTCAGCAGGGAACCTGCTTCCCCCTCTCTCTCTGCCTGCTGCTGCTCTGCCTACTTGTGATCTCTCTCTCTGTGTCAAATAAATAAATAAAATCTTTTTTAAAAAGTATAATTGACATACTAGAAATGAGAGAGAATAGAATTGTATAAAATATCAAAACCACAGAAAAAATGGTGGAAGACAAAAATAGGAACAATAATAAGGGTACCAAATAGGAAACTAACAAATATGATTGCCATTAATCCAGGTATTTAAATAAGTTCTTTGATGGTTAGTGGTCTAAAGAAGCCAATTAAAGGACAGAGATTGTCAAAGTGGATTTAGAAACAAGACCCAAATGTATGTTGTCTACAAGAAACCCATTTTAAATATTAAGATTTTAAATATATAGATTGATAATAAGTGGATGGAGTAAGATATTCTATGCTAATCCTAATTAAAAAAAGCATATTAATATTAGAGCAGTCTTCAAAGCAAGGAAACTTATTGGGGATAAAAAGGAGGATTACATAATGATAAAGGGGTTAGATCTCCAAGAAGACATAACAATCCCTAAGATGTATGTGCCCAACAACATAATGTCAAAATACTGATGGAGCTGCAAAAACTGATAGAATTGCGAGGAGAAATAGATGAATACTCTGTTACAGCTGGAGACTTCAACACCCCTCATCAGAAATGAACAGACCCAGCAGGCAGAAAATCAGTAAGGACATAGATGAACTTAATAATACCATTAATCAATTAGATACAGTGAACATCTACAGACTATTTGATTGAATAACAGCAGAATACACATTCTTTTGAAGCTTACATGGGAGATTGAACAGGTACACTACATTCTTGAGTAAATCATACCTTAATAAATTTAGAAGAAGAGAAATCATCCAGTGTCTGTTCTGAGACCACAGTGGAATTAAACTAGAAATCAGTAATAGAAAGATAGCTGTATCATAGTGTACTTCTATTTTCAACTTTTTGAGAAACCTCCTTACTGTTTTTTAGAGTAGCTTCACCAATTTGCATTCCAACCAGCAGTGTAAGAAGATTCCTCTTCTCTGCATCCTTGCCAGCACCTGTCGTTTCCTGTGTTAATTTTAGCAAATTTGATGGTGGAGGTGATATATCATTATAGTTTTGGTTTGCATTTCCCTGATAATGAGTGATGTTGAGCATCTTTTCATATATCTATTGGCCATCTAGATGTCTTCTTTGGAAAAGATGAAACGAAATACTTCTAAATGGCACATGGATCAAAGAAGAAATCTCAAGAGAAATTAAAACATATTTTGAACTAAATGAAAATGAAAATAAAACTTACTGAAATTTGTAGGTTGCAAAAGCAGTGCTTCGATGGAAATTTATAGTATTGAATATATGCTAGGAAAGAAAAAAGATCTAAAATCAATCCTCTAAACTTCTACTTTAGGGCATTAGAAAAAAAAAGAGCAAATTGAATCCAAAATAAGCAGAAGAAAAGACATAATACAAATTAGGGTGGAAATCAGTGAAAGTGAAAACATAAAGTCAATAGAAAAGTCAACAAAACAAAAAGCTAATTTCTTGAAAAGATCAATAATATCAGTAAGTTTGTAGCCAGGTTATGTAATAAAAACAACATGGGCACAAATTAATAATAGGATTGAAAGAGGGGACATCAATAGTCCATATTAAAAGGGTAATTAAGGAATACTGTAAATAACTCTATGCCCACAAGTTTGGTTACATACAAGAAATTTGGCAATTCTCTGGAAGATACAGTCTGCTAAAAGCTCACACAAGAAGAAATAGCTGATCTGAATAGGTATATATCTATTGAAGTCATTGAATCAATAATTAATAACCTTCCAAAACCAAAAGCACCATGCTCAGATAGTGAATTCTTTCAAATATTTAAGGAAATAATCATACCAATTCTCTATGAATTCTTTCAGAAAAAGAAACTGAGGGATACTTCCTAACTAATCCAAGAGATCACCATTACCAAATCAGACAAAGACATTAGAAGATAAAACTACAGACCAGTATCTCTCATGAACATAGATGCAAAAATCCTTAACAAACTATTAGAAAATCAAATCCTACAATGTATAAAAATAATTGTATATCATGACCAGTGAGATTTATTTCAGATATGCAAGGCTGGTACAACATTTTTTTTTTTTTTTAAAGATCTTATTTATTTATTTGACAGAGAGATCACAAGTAGTCAGGCAGGCAGAGAGAGGAGGAAGAAGGCTCCCCGTGGAGCAGAGAGCCCAATGCGGGGCTCGTTCCCAGGACCCTGAGATCATGACCTGAGCCGAAGGCAGAGATTCCAACCCACTGAGCCACCCAGGCACCCCAAGGCTGGTACAACATTTGGAAAATCAGTTAATGAAGTCCATCACATGAACAGATTAGAAAAAGGAAAATCACATGAGCATGCAAATAGATGTAGAAAAATCACTTGACAAAAATTACAAAACCAGTACACATTCATGATAAAAACTCTCAGTAAACTAGGCAAAGAGGAAACCTTCTTCAACTTAATAAAGAATACAGGAAACCTACAGCTAACATCATAAGTAATGATAAGAAACTTGAAACTTTCTCAATAAGATCAGAAGCAAGTCAAAGATGTTTTCTCTTACCGTTGCTTGTTAACATCATACTGGAAGTCTTAGCTAATGCAGTAAGTCAAGAAAAGAAATGTATACAGACTGGGAACAATGAAATAAAGCTGTCTTTATTCACAGATGATATGACTGTCTAAAGAAAATCCAAGTCAATCAACAAAAATACTTGTAATTAATAAGTGATTATAGCAAGGTTGCAGTATGAAATGTTACTCTACAAAAGTCAGTCACTTTCTTGTACATCAACAATAAACAAGTGGAATATGCAATTAAAAACACAATACCATTTTCATTAGCTCCTCCAAGAATGAAATACTTATATACATATATGCAACATATATACAAGATCTATAGGAGGAGAACAACTGAATTCCAAGGAGAGAAATTATAGAAGAAATAATTGGAGACGTATTCCATGTTTGTTGATGAGAAGACTCAATATTGTCAAGATGTCAGTTTATATCAGCAAAATGTCAGCTTGCTCTTTAGATTTAACACAATCCCAATATTGACAAACTGATTCTAAAGTTTATATGAGAAGCAAAAGACCCAGACTTGTCAACAGAATATTGAATATGGAATATTATTTAGTACTCAGAGAAATTAGCTATCAAGCCACAAAAAGACCTGGAGGAAATTTACATGCATATTACTAAGTGAAAGAAGCCAATCTGAAAAGGGTACATACTACATGATTCTAACTATATGATATTCTGGAAAAGGCAAACTATAGAGACAATAAAAAGATCAGTGGTTTCCAGGAGTTAAGGGAGAGAGAGGAATGAATTAGGTGCAGCCCAGAGGATTTTATTACAGTTAAACTACTTTATATGATACTATAATTATAGATATATGTTGTTATATATTTGTTCAAATCCATAGAATATACACCAGGAATGAAACCTAATTTGGATTTTGGATGATAATGATGTGTCATTGTAGGGTCATCTGTTGTAAAAAATGTACCACTCTAGTAGGGGATGACTGTGCATCAGTACATACAGAAGGTATATGGGAAATCTCTGTTATTTTCTGTTCAATTTTATTGTGGAACTAAATCTGCTCTAAAAAATAAAGTACAGTATACAAAGTTAATTATTGAGTTTTCTTTTATTTTGAAGATTTATTTATTTATTTGAGAAAGAGAGAGAGAGAGAATGAGCAGAGGGAGGGGCAAAGGGAGAGAGAGTGAATCCTCAAGCAGACTTCGCAGAATGTGGAGCCTAACACAGGGCTTGCTAGGATCCTGGGCTCATGACCTGAGCTGAAACCAGGAGTCGGCCGCCCAACCAACTGAGCCAGCAAGGTGCCCCTGAGTTTTCCTTTTCTTAAAGGAATGGTGCAGACTCATTTATATCTGTATCATAGCTATCAATATTTTTGTGGGTTTTTTTTTTTTGTATATCGTTGTCCTCTGGTCCATCCAGAGCAATGGTGATGCAGAGTTCATTAAAAGTGGACTCTGGAATATTCTTCCAAGTTGCTTATGCCCTTTTTGTAAGTTTTTAATGTTGCTGATATCTCAGTTTCTCAAAGGTATATTAGAAGTTTTTCAGATACTATCTAAGACCCTTATTTTTTCCTTAAATTCTATTTAAGTGGGTTTTTGACTATAGAATCAAGGAATTTCATTTGCTTAGTTTTTCCAAAGAAATAAAAAATACTCATATTAGAAGTGGTAAATTAGAACAAGTCCAAGTTACTCTGTATAATTAATATAAATATTTAAATTAGCTTTTTTATTAGAGAAAATATTTCTATATACAGCATCTTAATCTGTTGGTCTTTAAAGTTAATATGATGACAGCAGTATTTCTTGACTTGCTTTTCTAAGAAATGTTATTCTTTTTCATATGCTGTTGAACTTATTGATTTCTAAACCAATTTTTAATATATTATCTATAATATATATTAAGGAGCAACTCTGTTCTGTAAGCAATAAAATATATATCAGTTAATACTCTTGGATTTAAGTTTTTGACCATAAAATTTATTCTTTATTATTCTTTTTGACAGGTTACAAAGACAGAATTAGAGAAATTAAAATCCAGCTATAGACAGTTAATAAAAGAAATGAATTCTGCCAAAGAGAAATATAAAGAAGCTTTAGCTAAAGGTATGGAAAAGTTATGAAAAATTATTTATTTTAATGATTTTTATTCTTATCATTTGAAGATTGTCTTAATGAGTAGCAGATTGATTCCACTTAGGCCAATTCACATTTTAAAAATATCAAAATATGCCAAAATAGACTAATTGTCAAACTATTTAATGTCTTTTTTTATTTTTTTGTTTTTTTAAATGATATATTTTTGAGTAGTTCATGCTAAATGAAATTACATAGCACTTGTAGTAGAATGCAAAGAATGTTTAAATTTTTTTCTCCAGCATCAGATTTACTTATTTAATTACTGAATACTAAATAAGAAAAATAAGGTCGTATTTGTTTAGATACCTTTTTTAGTCCTCTTTTTACCTGTAGTAGTTAAAAGACATTAAAAGACAAGATTATTTTATGGCATTATTTTGCTTTCATAGCTTAATTTTATGTGCCTGTATTGTTCTAACATTTTCATAAGAACCTTTTGAAATAAATAGAAAGAGAAACATTATTTTTATTTTATTTTATTTTAAACAAGAGTTTATGGTTATGAGTCTTTAAATGTGAGTGAACAGTCTTTATATTTAACTTTTTTTAAATTATAAAAGTTGGAGGGTTTTTTTTTTGTTTTGTTTTTTGTTTTTAATTCTTCCTGTCTAAATATAAGCTTTATTAGCAGCTCTGTCTTCTTGAGACTCAACATATTTTCTCTTGGTCTTTTACTTGTGTATATATTCTTGTTTTGCTGAGGTAAGTCAAATAAATAGCTCTACATTTGAATATGTCTTGCACAATGAAAATACCATGTTTTTGTTGTTAATCCCAGTAGACTAAAAGAGAAACTGATGTAGATGGATTTCTCCCTCCTTCCATTTCTTACTTTCCTTTGTCTTCACTCTCTTTCTCCTCTGGCTGCTCTCTGGTTGCTTCCTCCTCTTCCTTCTCTCTGTCCTTCCCCATTCTCTTGCTTACTCTTTGCTCCCCATTTTCCTACCAACACAACATTTACTTTGTTTCTGTCTGTTCCTGTCCCCACCCCTCACACATTTACCTCATGTTTCTGTTTTTTGCAGTGTTTCTGCTACCTTTTTAGGGAAGATGAAGCTCTGTTTAAAGTTTTCTTATTTCTGCTTACTTATTTGTCATGTACCTCAATCAGTATTTTGAGATCATGATCTCCTTATTAATATAAACATATCTTTTAAAATACATTTGTAATTCAACTATCTTAAACTATTTAAAAACTTAAATTATTTTAAAAAATCACTTAAAAAATGGCATTGTATAAAGATCATATACATACTTTGGAGTCAGAGAGTATTGGATATAAATTCCAACACTGTGATTACTTCATAGATTTTCAAATTTCATATATTTATTATTCTTTTATTATTTTAAAAGATCTCTAGATAATCAAGAAATATTTACTGAACATTTGCTGTCTATAAGTTATTGAAATTCAAACAGTATTTCCTAGACATTCAAGGAGCTTAAACATTTCTAGTTGATATTCTAATTTCTGAACAAGTCTTACCCTCTTTCAAAATTCAGTTTATGTGCAAGGGATCCCTTGCTAAATCAAGAGTAGTTTAGAAGTAGTTTTGTACGTTAAGCATTACTACTCAATCTGTCAAAATAGTTAATTTTATAAGGTCTGTTACTTAATGCATGTCTAGCATTCTCAAATTAGTGCCCTATATTAAAAATATCTATATTTAAATTCACTCAGAGCAAGTGATGAATTAATCCAACTGTATTATAATTCAGCTGTGCTAAGTATTTCACGCTAGGTTTGTATCTGTGGGAGAATGATTATTTAAAAAAAAAGATATAATTACTCCCTAGTCTTTGATAATTCGTTTTTTGTTTGTTTGTTTTTGTTTTTTAAAGATTTTATTTATTTATTTGACAGACAGAAATCACAAGTAGGCAGAGAGACAGGCAGAGAGAGAGGAGGAAGCAGGCTCCCCACTGAGTAGAGAGCCCGATGTGGGGCTCAATCCCAGGACCCTAGGATCATGACCCGAGCTGAAGGCAGAGGCTTAACCCACTGAGCCACCCAGGCACCCTTGATATTTGTTTTTTTAATGATTAGTTTATTTTGGTTGAAAAAATGAAATTTAATTCTGATGTCATAATAAAATTTTTAAATAGTTCTTTTGTGTAGGGCTTATATTATCAAATATTTTTCACAGATAATAGTTATTCTTTATTTTTTTAAATTACTTTTAATTTAGATAAAATACCATTTAGTGTATTAATAGTAGGAAGGCAACTAGATTTGAAGATTATAGTTTTAATTGGTCCCAAGAAGTGTTATTATTTGGCTGAATGTCATGAAATTAAAATATGTGAATTTATTTACATTTCTCCTTCTAAAGGTATTAGTGATAATATTTTCCAATTTTCAAAAATTTGATTGTTGTTATTAAATCAATGTATACCCTATAGAATATACATATATATAACTTATAGAATATATATAACCTATAGAATACATATTTTTAAAATAAGTTCTTCTATGATTGTGTTTGATACATGACATGTAAATTTATCTTTTTATAATCAGAACTATCTTTATGCTCATGTTTATGTGAAAAAGTATAGAATTTTATTTTTGAGGGACGCCTGGATGGCTCAGTTGGTTAAGCAGCTGCCTTCGGTTCAGGTCATGATCCCAGCGTCCTGGTATCGAGTCCCACATCGGGCCCCTTGCTCGGCAGGGAGCCTGCTTCTCCCTCTGACTCTGCCTGCCTCTCTGTCTGCCTGTGCTCACTCTCTCTCTCTCTCTCTCTCTCTCTCTCTGACAAATTAAAAAAAAAAAAAAATTTAAAAAAAAGAATTTTATTTTTGAACACTTTGTTTCTGTTATCACACTACTTTTTATGTTTAACATGGAAATTTTCTTCTGCGAAGTTATTTACTCTTTACAAGGATGGCAAAATTTCCAATATTTGCAGACTTTATGTCAGAACCTTAGTTCATTTGTATAGGCCAGACCAGGGCAGTTCTGGAATGGTCTCTAGGAACTGCTGGGCACCAACAATGAATACCCTGGCTGTGGTTCTAGCCACCAAAGATATTAGGAGGTCTTAAGACCCCAGTCTGACATATAGCTTCCAGTTAGAGAAGATGAGGCTTTAGGGAAGACAAGGCTTTGGGGGAAACAAGGCCTGAAATAATTCCTATAGTAAGGCTTAAATTCTGGATTTGAGAATGAATTCAGAGTTAAATGTTCAGTTACTCCAACTGGAGGTTTAGCACTTACAGTTGATGAGAAGGAAGGCAGGGTTAATGCTTAAATTCCAAATTTCTGACCCCTGCTGTGTGGCTTACATAAAGGAACATTAGTTTATATTGTCTAATGTAAAATATAACACTCATTTGCCACATAAATGTAGCACTTTAATTAATTTCTTTGTAATATACCTTAAGTATTACACTATTTTTGCTCTGTGCTGTGCTGAGAAAGCAAATATTTGTCTTAAATTGACTTGGACTAATTTGAACATTAGTCTGTTGATTACTATTTATAACATGTAAACTGAGAACAACCAAAATAATTTTAGTTTACTGAGCTGAAGTCAGTTATTCAGAATGTTTCTTTTTTTTTTTTTTTTAAGATTTTATTTATTTATTTGACAGAGATCACAAGTAGGCAGAGAGGCAAGCAGAGAGAGAGGAAGGGAAGCAGACTCCCTGCTGAGCAGAGAGCCCGATGCGGGGCTCCGTCCCAGAACCCTGGAATCATGACCTGAGCCGAAGGCAGAGGCTTTAACCCACTGAGCCACCCAGGCGCCCCCAGAATGTTTCTTGATAGCAGCACAGAATAATGAGTTCTTGAATACAAAATATACAGGTTTTACTTTTCTATTATTGCAAATTAAGTTCTGAGTACTTTAAGTTGAGCAACCGTTTAGGTTTAGCCATAAAACAATTCTGTGAATCTACAAAGCTAAGGTTTTGACATAATGCCTGTAAATGTTGGCAAAATTTTCCGTCACATTTATCCATATAAAAGGTAAATGAGGGGCACCTGGGTGGCTCAGTTAAGCGCCTGCCTTTGGCTCAGGTCATGATCCCAGGGTCCTGGGATTAAGCCCCATATTGTCTCCCTGCTCAGAGGGAAACCTGCTTCTCCCTCTCCCACTCTCACTTGCCCTGCTTGTGTTCCCTCTCTCGCTGTGTCTCTCTCTGTCAAATAAATAAACAAAATATTTTAAAAAGATTGAAAGTAAGAAGTAAATGACTTCACAAAAGAACTTCTATAGGATCATATTGTCTATGAATAAAGAAAGTTTAACTTTCTCTTTCCTATCTTGATAGCTTTTTCTTTTTCCTGCCTGATTGCCTTAACTAGAGCCTCCAGTATAATGTTGAATAGCGGTAGAAAGAGCAAAGCTATTGGTCTTTTTCCTTGAACGTACGGGAAAAGTCAAAATTAAGTATTAAATTAGCTATAGTTTCAAAGTTTTTATCAGGTTGAAGTTCCTTTCTATTCCTGCTTCAGAGTAGTTGCTGGATTTTGTCAAATGCTTTCTTAGTATCTATGGAGATAAATATTTCTTTTTCTTTTTGTTTGGTAGGAATTGCTTTGATTGATTTTCATGTTTCAAATATTATACCTGATCTCACATTCTTAGGATAAAGTCCTTGGTATGATGCACTTTTTTTAAATATTGATGAATATGGTTGGCTAAGTTTTTTTTTTTTCATAATTTTTATCTATATCTTTGTTTCTTGTATTTTTGTCTCATTTTATTATAAAGCTAATGCTATTCTGTGAATGGTTACTTCTTATTCAACTTTTTAGAAAGATTTGTGTTCAACTGGGTTCAATTGGTAGTATTTCTTAAATATTGGTAGAATTCACTTGTAAAGCCATCTGGGTCTGTTTGTTTTTGTTTTTTACTTTTGCAAAGATTTTTAAACTACGAATTTTTTGGATTAATGTAGACTCCTTAGTTTATCTGTTTCTTTTTGAGTTTTAATAGGTTGTATCCGTCAAAGAAATG